AATCTATCTATGTTAAACTGACTAAATGTAATTTACAAATTTAGAAAGCATTGAATTTAGAGTTCACAGAGTAAGTCTTCTTTTGGACTTGCAATTCACCCTCTCAGTCACGTAACGTTGTCTGAGGGAAGCATTAAATATACTTTATTGTCCAGAACCAAGAGTACAAGTAGCTCTGACTTTATTAGACCTTCACTGGCTCCTAAAAGCTCCTGTCTTTCACACTCCACATCCAGTTTATAGCCGTAGGTGACATTATGCAATTGTTTTCACAAGTATCCCAAACTTCATCTGTAAAACCAGGGGAATGCTCCTTCAAATGAAAACGATCCTCAGGTCATTAAAGTACAGTGGTCAGTACAGTAGCTCCCCGCTGTGCACTGCTGTGACAAGCTGGATTACAGTGGTACACTTATTCTGAGGTTCAGCGCTGTGGCAGGGTGGTCTGCATGTGAGGAAATGCTGACTGGGCCGTCACTTTGGGAGATACTCAGCTGAGTCGCCCATAACACTATCATCACTCAGGGGTCAGAGTCGTGCAAGAAACTGAAACATGCTGGAACTGGAACTTGCTGCGGACGAGATTTAGAGATGTGAGGTGGAGATATTCTCGTCAGAGCCGTAGTCTTTTGAAGCAGGATGAGTCTGAGTTCAGACAGGTCACTTTCACTGTTGTCTGGTTTTATTTTTGGACTATAGGCCTATCGAGTGTACAGAATCATGCTGAAGGAACAGCGTCCTTTGTCCAATGACAGGTCAAGAACATCAGTAGCTCTAACCAGGGTTGGTAGGATTTCCGTGTGTATGTGCACAAGGACGGCAGGTTCTATTATTCCATTGCTATCCCACAATGGTTGTTATTTTTTCTGGTCACCTTCAGTCACCAGATGTCTTCACAAAAGCTCAGTTTGGGTTAGGGCCGGTGGTCCGGTGATTGTGAGGACACGGTGGCTTTGTTGGCCATTTTGGGGCAATCACTCAATCCAAAAACTCATTAGGAAGAGTGGCCGGGGCTCGGACCACACGTGCAGCAGTCTGAGGCGTGGAATCAGGGGCTCAGAGGTGTCAGATGAGTCCGGTCCCAGTGTGTGAGCTGCAATGCATTACTTAGTAACCCATTACAGTAATGTGATTACTTTTACAGCAAGGGATTATTGAAATTGAGTTCAATAAATTACAGTCACTACATATAGCTGAAGTGTGTGTGGAGCTGGCTGCTGCAGGGGACTAGTAAATTCTAAAAATGTCAAATTATTAAACCACAATTCTTTGTTTTGTATTTTCTACACATGCTCAACACAAGATGTGATGAGTGGATGCAGGATTTGCATTTGTTTCATTTAGACCGGATGGTAATGTAATTTTTTATGAAGCAATCTGTATTGAGTGATTTGAACTGTTTTCAAGAAACCAGCCCAATATTTATCCTGTGTAAAAGTCCTGAATTAAGGGTCTAAACATTATATTAATGAAATCTACTACTCAATTAAGGGTTTACCAAATGGGTAGGAACTACCACTTGTAAAACCCAGGGGGAGAACATTCATGCTACTGCAGGATATTGATGTTAAAGCAGAATGTGCCTTGAATTAAAATCAGACGAAGCCCAAAGTCAAGCGTTTGTCTTGAAGGTCATGAGGCCCTCCTCACCATCACTGCACAAATGCTGGCGCTGTGCTCACGCACAAGAACACACGTGCACAATATAACATAACAGTGTGTGACATTAAAGCCTGGTCCTTGGTTCATGACAGGCCTGGAGCCTTTTGCTCTCATCCTCTGTGTGTTGCCCATTCATCCAGGCTGCTCCTCCCCATCACACCACGCTCCCTGCAGAGGAGCTGTGTGCATTAACATGCCTATGCATGAAGTGTGACACACCACAGCTTCCTTTGTATTGAATCTGTACATACTATTTGCTGCACACACACATAGTTTGTGTGAGTATAGTGTAAGTACACACAGAAATAAATCAATAACGAGGATTTACGCTGAAAAAACGCTTCAAGGTGAACAAGTGTAGACGTAATATATATTCATCATGCCTGCCCCTCCTCCACCTCTACCATCCTGACTCCCCTGGAGTCTTGGTCACGTGCTTGCTGCTCCCGTTCCCCCTGAAGCCATCCTCACCAACCAGCGGACCAACCGAGAAACAGCTGATTTAATTCACTCGCCACCGCGCATGCAGGGCCCTCCATCGCTTATCCCATGGTTAGAGACAAGGTTTTATCCCGTCATAAAGGCTGGCAGATTAATCTCAACCCAGATTGGTAAGCTGGGATGTGGCTCTATGGGCTGGTCTGGGGTCAGCAACATGAGGTGGTGAACCAGTGTCTATAAATAGAGGTAGGGACCTGCAGGCGGGAGATTCTGGCTCATCTGTCATGCTGAGCAGGGTAAATCCTTGTTTAGGACAAAATAGAGAGGTGCACAGTATCAGGCTTCAAAATATCAGATATCACATTATTTCCAATAAACTGTTGTAACTGGAGAAAGAGAAAAAGATACAGAGATGAAGCCATTAGGTAAAAAAGAGTTTGATTGTATTCTGCTCCAGTTTTCAAGATAACTCCTTATTATTTGTTGTTAATATCAATCATGCGTTTATAGTGAGAGGGCGAGAGGAGTAAAGATGTCATGCACAATAATGTCTGCATCAGTGAATAGCAGAATATAGCATTCATATGGCAGAACATTGATTTCTGGCATATTCCTGCAGAAAAATCAAATATGTGTCCCTTGTTTATAAGTAAATAAATAGTTGTTGTGACCATATCACCCGTTCGCTCACAACAATTATTACCATGACAACAAATGAAGCGTTGAAATTGAGGAAACACAACGTGAAATACAAAATCAACAGTGGCAGTGGAGAATAACATATAAAATGAGACTTAAGTCGATAAGCCTGTTGTCCTGGTGCATGCTGGGAGGCGTTCCTCACAGGATGCTGCAGCATTTAAATGTCATTGTCTGGGATGTTGTTTATTGCTGTGACAATTGTCTCTACATTAAGGCCACCAGAGAAATGTATTCAGCATTCTGGGGTCATTTCTCTGTATATATGTATTTACATAAACATACTGTGTGTACTAGGTGGTGAGATTTATCAGTAAGTGAAGACATACATTCACACATATGTATTTTTACACATGTACTTGTTCTGCATGTTATACAGTAGACATCAGAGGCTGCACGCTGTCTTTATTCAGTGCATTGTAACAGTGGTTTTAAAAGCCTCATCCTGTTTCCATCTGGTTGTTTCCTCCATACTGGAGCTTTGAACCGAGCTCTAGCTGAATTAAGTTGTGTGTAGTAACACACAGGGAGTGTGTTTCTGAGGCCGAGGGAGTTCCCCTGGGGACCTGCACGGTCAACCAGCGGTGCCAGCCTCGGAGTCCTCTCCCAGGCTTGTCACAAACATCACAAGCATCTGTTACGGCCATGAAGGAAGATTCTAGGATTCGAGACATTTTCCTGTTGTTGTGAACACGTCAGATCTGCACAATCTCCTGCTGCGTTCTTCACATGTGAAAGACAAACTGGAAATTGGGTCCAGCCATTCTCGAGAACCTTTTCATGTCTGAACACAGCTATGAAACAATGTCAGCGTCTCAGATGACTGTTAAGCGCCTGACAGGAGAAAACTAGGGGACGTCTGTGTTAGGAGACTTGATGCTGAATCCTCAAGTGGGCCTGTGTGCGTGTGGTCGCGTGTTCTTTACGAGTAACTGTACATGTAATGTCCCTGTATACAGTAAGCCCATCATGTCGGCTCTCAGCATCTGTCCACACACTCCTTTGATACGCTGGCTTGATTCTCACGTGTTTGTCCATGTGTGTGTCTGTGTGTGTGAGAGACTCTGTCTAACACCAGTTGCTTAATCACAATGGATCAGAGATTGAGTGTCAGCCATAAGCCTCATAGGGTGTAGCCCTCAGTTCTTCATGTGCGTGACTATTAATTATTCCATTCGTTCGATTAATTATTGTTGGAAAAGCAGACTTTGCAGTGAAAAGCTGCTGATTCAAGCTGACCGCCTGAAAATAACTGCATAGTGATTAACGAGTTTGTTTTTTCTGTGAAATTTTGAAAATGAGTCCCCTGAGGGCTCAGGCCTTGTGGGTCCACTCATACAGTTGCTATGGCTGTAGCCTTAGGATCTGTTAAAAATTATGAAACTTTTAATTTCTCAAGGAATCATTTAAGGTTGTTCTTATCACGCTTTTTTCTAGTAAGTATTGTTTTGATTAGTTATTTGATGCAGTTAATATGGGGCGATACTGCTCACCCTCTGGCCTCTCCTTCTTTTAATGTGAATGCTATTTACAGTATGAACTAAGCACAAAAGCGCTATGTTGCATCCGATAGCACCAGTCTTTGTTCCCTGCACTCGACACATCCATGTGCATCCGCTCTCTCTCCAGAGAAATCTGTCTTGCCAGAGATGTGGGAGGCGCAGCGTTTACCTCCAGGCTCACGCACAATGAAGTGTTCTTATTCGAGCCATGACTCAAAAACAGTGTAATCTGCCGCTCAGCAGAACAGCGTGCCTTTTTCACATTGTGACTGGCTACCTTTGTTGCCATGGTGACAGTCGATGGAAGTTAGCCTTGTAATGCTGAGTTTCTGTGACTGTGTGTGTCTGTGTGTGTTAGTGTGCTTCTTTCAGGACATGTCCTCCCAGCGAGGGGAAGGGGTGCAGAGCAGTTTCCTCTTATGCAATAACTTGTATCATTTATATGAAATATGGATTTGAAGTTAACTATGGCACTGGTGACTCATGTGGTTCATGTATCAACTCTATATGTTAGGAGTGTGTATGTCTCTCTGTGTGTTTGTGTTTGAGAGAGATAATCCACAGTATATGAGAGTATTTTTAAATACACATAGGTCTGTGTGCTCTTCTGTTTTACCTGCTCAGTAACAGCCTCTTCTCTCTCTCTCTCTCTCTCTCTCTCTCTGTATGTGTGTGTGTGTTTGTGTCTCCCCATAGAGAACTGATGAGGAGGCGGTGGTGGACCGCGGGGGCACACGCTCCATGCTCAACACCAACTTTGAGAAGGAAGAGCTCGAAGGTAAAAACCCACAATTGATATTTACTTCATTGAGTTTAGACACATTGTTAGAATTTCAAAGTTGGAAGACTTGAAGGTGATGCACACAAATCTCCTACAGTGCTGGATCCTACGTTTCCCACAATGCAGCTCAACAGCTGTCTGAGTCAGCCTTTTTGTAATCAATGCATAATCTCCTCTTCTGTTGTGGGCAGAATGGGGAGGGGGATTTGTCCTAGTATGTCCTTGCTTTTTTGGAAAAGTATTTTGGGAGACTGGCAATTAAGGCAAGCTCAAGGAAAGTGGGCACAATTATATAAGTCAGTGTATGTCTCCAAAAAATATCCAGGAATCCAATGAGAGATGACAGATTCATAAATGATAGACCTTGTTATGAGAAATAACAAAGAATCATCCAGAGAAAATATGATGAAATACCAACATTATTACTGAAAACATTAGGATTCCTTCTCATATAATACTCTGACTGCTCCGTCAGTATACTCTCTATTGTTGTCATGGCAACAAGACAAAGGTTTCAGTCTCGACACACGGTGAGATGTGTGCTTTCATCTCAAGGACGCTAATCTTTTGTCAATGGTTTCCATCATCACTAGTCTGACGCTGTGTTGATGCTGATCCAGCGTCAGCACAGTACAGGAGAAGCACCGCCTCTCCACCCCTCCCTCATTCACACTCACTCACCACCGGGCTAAAGAAAAGATTAGCACTGTATGATGTCTTGCTCGATTCCATTGAAGCTTTTAAGTTCCAGTCCTGGATTGGTTTCCACTCACTGCCATGTGGTTTGCAGTGCAGCTCTGACGGATGCAGCTTCATTCAGATGGTGAGAAAAGAGACAGCGAAAGTGGCTTTAAAGAATAAAGTCCTTTGCACATCAACAGTGATGCAAATAAACGGTGCAAAATAGTGAATCATTTGGAGGCGATGTGGTTAATCAAATAAAAATATAGGATAAAAAATGATGCACCTCAGGAAGGAAAGATGGAAACAGCAAGCAATGATGATATGATGTAAATGTAACCCCAACAAGTAGGGGAGGTCATAGTCCTGGACATCTAGACAAGATTTAAGTAACAGTGATTGTGCTGCTTTGTTAAATCTCGGGCCCGGGCCGAATGAAAGCCACTGAAATGTGGCAGTAGATGAAAAGAGAAAGACATGACATCAGCAGTATGGGTCAGGCCTGGAGGAGGAGAGCTATTTTTGTAGAGTCCTCCACTCATGAGTCGTGCCTCATGAACTCTTCTCCGCTACCCTATTGTTCCTGTCTGCCCGAATGGGCCTTTTATTGTGAAATTCATGTGCAAAGTCAGTCTCTCTTCCACCCCCCGTCCGCCATACATAATTTACCGGGTGCTAACAGCAATTTGCTCTGGATGGTCGCATCCACTGCAGGACAAGCTCTGACAGAGTGAGACACACTCCCTTACTACAAATGTGTTTTGACATTTTCTCATTACGCTACCTCAAACCCCACTTAACCTTCATCCTGGATTTCTTTTGGTGAAGGACCCTGCATGAGCGACTGCCTTGACAGATGTCACTGTGCTCTAAGGTGATTTCCTACTATTATGTCTGTGCATTGCTCAAATCTGATTAGTGCGCTATGATGCGATTTGTTACGTCTCCAAGCAAGTAACTTATACACAACATCCTTGATTGAATTATAAGAAATGCCATCTTGGAATATTTTGTACGACAGATTCTGCAATTTAATGAGAAAAAAGTCATGATATTTCGAGAAATACTGAAGTATAACTTCACACGATGCTCCACATTCCTCATTTAACACAGACGGTAGACTGATCTGCTGTTGTTCCTCGTGACACAGCATAAAATGAAGACTTTATTCTCTCTTTTTTCACCCTTGTGTACCTCTGACTAATCCTACGCTTTAGCTCCTGAACATCTAATTGCTCTGGGTCTGTTCAGTTTGGTGTCACATTATGCTGGACGCTGTGGCGCCTCATACGGTGCACGAGGCAGATAAAGAGAACAGGGTGCCGATAGTCTTGTCTGTGTCCGGCCACTGAGTCAAGGGCCGGCGGGAAGGAAGCAGTGGTTGGGCAGATCGGCCGGAATTAAAATAGGCGTAAGTCAACTCAGATTAATTTCATGCTGACCCTGTGGATGCACACTTCACACATACACACACACACACAGCAGAGGAAGGTCTTTGTGCTCACATTAATATCCTTCCAGAATCCTGCAGCCTCATTATTTGTTCTGTATTGATTTATAATGAGATGTCATCAAATTTCAAAATCCATTTCTGTATCCTCAAAGAGAACAATAGCTCCTTGTTAAGACACATGATGAGAAGGAGTCAGCAGTTTATTATGTTGCTCATTCTCCTAATATCGACCTCGACCTTATTCCAATAGTCTCATGATATCTTTTCGCATAGTTTTTGAATTTCACCAAGTCGGCATCTGCAAGAGTTAACAGCGAGCTACAGATTGATTCCCTTTCCTACGAGATTGAGGGGAATTAAATGATGTAGGCAGCTTCCAAGGATGGGATAATGTGATCATACTTCTGGCTTCTGCTGCTGAGGAAGAAGTGGCCTTGGATAAATTACAATAACATATTGAGACACTTTATTAATTCTCTTGCTATGAACAGCGATCTGAGGCAAATCGGTACATCCAAAGTACTTAAGTCGGATGCATGGGTGCAAGGACATGCACAACCATCACTTGCTTTACACAGGACAAGGATTGTATTTCTTCTTATTAGAAACCTAATGCCATTTGCCAGTTATCCACTCTTATGTGTCTGTATTCTATTGCTGTGCCGATGATACATCTCACCCTGCTTCAATGAAATAGCTTCATAATGGATCACTTCCTTCAATTCAATTTCGCTGACTGAAAGAAAGTGAAATAAAAATCCTTCTAGTGCTTGAATTAAAGTTCCTCAAAAATACGTTTTTTTGTTTGATAGAAAGATGAAAAACTTAGTAATGCACAGCATAAAAAATATACTTGAAAGAAAACATGTAGTGAGTGTGGACTGAAGGACAGACTGAAATGTCTAACTTGTCGCCTCCAGGTCACCGCACTCTCTACATCGGGGTCCATGTGCCCCTGGGCAGGAGGTCGCACCGACGTCACCGTCACCACGGACACAGACACAGGAAGAGGTCCAAGGAGAGGGACTCCTCGGCCGAGGATGAACGAGAATCCCCCTCACACAGTAGGTGTCAGGAATGGACAGAAGCATGCACATGTTTAAGGAAACATTTCAACCAAAGTATTTTCACTAATGAACATTCCTTCTATTTTTTTGATAATTTCAAATTCTTTCCTCCTCCTTTTCCGATCAATACTCGTCCCCCACTTGTCCCGCTCGCCACAGCAGACACACCAGCCCAGAGGGTGCAGTTTCTCTTGGGGACAGAGGATGGCGATGAGGAACACATCCCCCACGCCCTATTTACCGAACTGGATGAAATCTGTGTCAGGGAGGGGGAGGACGCAGAATGGAAAGAGACAGCCAGGTGTGACCGCCAGACAGCTGTGGCATTCTTTCTCTGTTGCACCTGAGACTTTGATTCTGTTTATGAGAGGAAGCTTTTATAAATAAATATAAAGTTTTCTCTTTTGTTTTTCTGTGCAGGTGGTTAAAGTTTGAGGAGGATGTGGAGGATGGCGGTGAGCGGTGGAGTAAACCATATGTAGCCACTCTGTCTCTACACAGTCTTTTCGAGCTCCGCAGCTGCATCATGAACGGCACCGTGATGCTGGACATGAGGGCCAACTCGCTGGAGGAGATTGCAGGTAAACTCTCAGCCCTGAAAAGTGTCCCATAATCCTGAGCATCTCACCATAAAAATGCAGATAATAGACATAGTAACTTAAATGGCTTCTCTGATTATCTTAACAATATCAATCCATTGATATTTAAAATGATATTTATATGTATCATAACTTTTTTTATATATTTGTTTAGTTTGCATCAAGATTTTGATTGACTGAAAAATAAAAATGCTCCACATCATTTGACCTGGTTTAGGGGGAATTAGGGAACTGTGTTTAAGTTTTTCAGGTCATCAGATTGTGGGATAAACTGGGCTGTTGTAGAGATCTGCTGAACTGCGATGAAATCAGAAACAGTGGCTTATTTTTGTTGTTGCTGAAATAATCAGCTTAGCATTGCTTGCTGCTGCCTCACTGGAGCACACACTGTCACGAGTCGCCTCTGTGAATCTCAAATGAAGTGTTTCAAGAGTAATGTGGAGGCCTACATCTGTGTTTGTATTTTCTCAGACATGGTTCTGGATCAGCACGAGGTGACGGGCCCCGTCGGTCAGGATGCCAGGCGGAGGATCCGTGAGGCCCTGCTCAAACAGCACCACCACCAAAACCACAAGAAACTGGCCAACCGCATCCCCATTGTCCGCTCCTTTGCTGATATCGGCAAGAAGCAGTCAGAGCCTCATTCCATGGACAAGAATGGTGAGCAAATGGGCCGAATGCAGTTCTCTGCTTTTTCCATGGTGACCATATATATGTTGTTGTGTGTAAATATATACACAGTATTTTTCATGTTTATGTTGTAATCCTCTGCATGATGTTTCCAGTGTGTCCATCTGTGACTTGCTGTTTTACTGCTACTTGATATCTCATTTTCTCCTCTTGTGTTTTTCCATGTTTGTGTGTTTGTTCTTGTCTACTGTGTTCTGCATGTGTGTGTGTGTGCATGTGTCATTCACTTAACCAGTAAATGACCTCTATTATCAAACCATAAAATCTCCCAAACAGCCTGAAAAAGCACTCCCCAGGAATGCTTCGCCCAAAAGAGCCTTTTCCTGCGTGGCATGGCCACAGTGCGTGTGCTGCATGCCATGTCTGTCCACCCCTCCATCAGCTTTGAGCTCCTCCAGGAGCCATGGCAACATGACCCCAGACGTACCCTTTGGAGAAACCAAGGTCAAACGTCTCAGTGTGCTTCAGGCAGTCGCACAAGGCTACTGTCCCATCACACAAGAAGACACAGAGCTGGAGATTTGCACAGGCAACCAGGATGCCTCAGCTGATGCTATGCACTAAAAGTCCAGAGATAGTAGTAGTAGTAAAAACGAGACATTAGAAGAGGAGAGTATCATCATGAGAGGGTAAAAATGGTTTATATGCAGTCAAGAAAAGAGAAAAATGGGGGATGTGGCACGCTCGACCGATCAGGAATCAGCCTCAGCTGTCAATCAAGACGTTTCCCACTGTTCTTATGGCATCAAATAACTAACTGAACCCAAACTCCCAACTTTGTGTGATAAAAACTCCTTAAAAAGACAGAAACCACCTCTAAGAACAATTTATTTGACGTGACTTTTCCATTTGGTCTTTGTCTCATCCACTCACATGGAGGAGGAAGGATGAGCTGTCATTACCTGTTTTCATGATAATGCTCTCCGCTTAATGCCATCATCGTCAACAATATGTGAGATCCCTAAAACACATATAGGAGAATTAGGAATCGTATTCTAAACTAAACTAATAACTAATAGTGGAAGCTATGCACTATAAATGCATCATTTAACTTCACCATCCTTTAGGACTTAAAGAAATAGTTAAACATTTCATAAATATGCTTATACACCGTGTACATGCCTTTTACAGATTTGGCTCTAGCTTCATATTTCATTTACAGCCATGAGTCAAGAAAGTGAATAAGCATATTTCACCCAAATGTCAAACTATTGCTTTAAATGTAGTTTGTTTCACCCTCACTGAAAAGCATTCCCTTAACATCTACTCAAACAACTGCGGCCGCCTTCACATCACAAGGCATACTGAATGATTTTGTCTATGGTTTAGTTAAAATCACCTCTGATCTTTTGCAGAAGATCTTAATATTAAACTAACACAGCAGCTACACTCCGAAAAAGAGGTACAATATTGCATCTTTTGTTTTTGGGCTAAATCTTTTCACTAATAAAGGCGCAGCACGACATCAAAAGTTCACGGTTGTACCATGTTTTTTCGGAGAATGTAACTGTACCCTGTAGTCGCTCACTGGAGACCTTTGTCTTTGTGTGGGAAAGTAGTGTTGTGATAGGCTGAAAGTTGACATGCTGTTGGTTTCCCGCTCTGCCCGACAGGCCAAACAGTCTCGCCTCAGTCCCAGCCGGCCAACAACGAGGGCAAACAGGACGTCAGCCGAGAAAACAGTGCCGTCGACTTCAGCAAGGTGAGCGAGCAGACCCACTGCTGAGTCTGCTGTTTATCCACCGACACTGATAGTTCCAAACCAGCACTGCATATTTAACCAAGATTGGGTTACGTGTGAAATGAGTCTCTCCATGGGAAACTGACTAGAATTCAGTGGGAGTAAAGATTATTTTCTTTTCTTTTATTGTCTGTGTGGAACGTCAGATCCAGACATTATTTAGAATTTTTCCATCTACCTATATCAAACATTTATCCTGATGTCGTATTCAGTCTGAAATGTATTTGTTTCTTTCTGTCTCACAGATTGACCTCCACTTCATGAAGAAGATCCCTCCCGGTGCTGAGGCGTCCAACGTCCTGGTGGGGGAGCTGGAATTCCTCGACCGCCCCGTGGTGGCTTTTGTCCGCCTGGCCCCCGCTGTGCTGCTCAACGGCCTGGCTGAGGTTCCCATCACCACCAGGTAATACACACAACTCATCACCATCTCTCCTCCTTTCTTTATTGTATTTCAAGTCTTGATAGATGTCTTGAAAACCTGTTGTCCTGTGTGTTGGACAGGTTTCTTTTCATCCTTCTTGGCCCTCTGGGAAAGGGTCCACAGTATCATGAAATCGGCCGGTCTATTGCCACGCTGATGACTGATGAGGTGAGGCATGTGATGCAAGTGCAAGAACATCAAGGTTCAAATTCTGACTCTTGGAATGAAGCCAGGAAAGTTCCAAGAGGAATATAAAGATACAGATCGATTACAAGTAAAAATCTTTCAATTATAGGATTGTTATTACTGATCCATGAATTATTTCTCAAGGAATAAACTAAAAAGTTTCAAAACATCACCCCTGATGAGGTCTTTCCTGCCCGATAGTTTACTTTCTTTTTTTAATATGTTGAATATAATAAATCACTTGAGCATAGTCCCAGTTCCAGACTAAAAAAAACATGAGAGAGCGATTTTGTTTTTCTTTAATCATTTCTTCCAGGCTGATCGTGTGTTTTGTGTGGAATAAATTTACTGGATTAAAAAGTACAAAATGTAATAGGGTATTTGTGTAAAGTAGAAGAAAGTGGATAAACTCAATTGACTCAAAACTACATTAACTGTGCTAATAAAGCACTTGAAGCAGAGCAAGCAACATTTGAGCTGCACGTATCCCAAGATGGTTTGGTATGTGGTTAAAGAGTCAATATTCATAGATGTGTCCCAAACAAGAAATAATAATAGTCAGATATTTTTATATTTAGTTTGATGGTTATATCAGAGTTTATTATGGTTTGGGGGAAGCAGAGAAACCAGCACCAACAACCCCGGGTTTGCATTTCACTAACCAAACCTGCCCTGGGGGGCTCAGCAGAGTACGACCTGAATACGTGACAGGATTTCCCACCGGGCAGCAATGAGCTAATGTTACTGACCACCATCACAGCCAGATGTCACCTTGTTTCTTCTCCCAGGCTGCAGAGTCCCTTTGGGATGTATGAAAATAAAAATCCTCATCATTTGGGAAGGAGCTGTACTCAACCATGTCTATTGGTTCTCAGCGAACATAGTCTGCATTCCATTTAGATAAACTGTTCTCCTATTCATGAGAAACAAATGACATTTCACATTTCACCTTATTCTTGTGAAGATTCACTTTGTATGATAATGCTCTGAATACTTTCTTTTTCATTATGTTTGGAGAGAGGAATACTTCAAGTCTGCATCTGTAAACCCATGAGTGAACTCAGTGATTCTGCGTCACAGAAGAACACAGACGATAATTAAATCAATGGTTATTCAAAAATCAGCATCTCTCCCCTTATCTCCTCCACAGGTTTTCCACGATGTTGCATACAAAGCCAAAGACAGGAATGACCTGGTGGCCGGCATAGATGAGTTTCTGGACCAGGTGACGGTGTTGCCCCCTGGAGAGTGGGACCCCTCCATCAGAATAGAGCCTCCCAAAAATGTGCCCTCTCAGGTGTGTGCTCCTTTTTATTATAAAGATGAATGGGGTAACTTCATTCTCATGGTATTATCACTTTTATTCCTGTGATATTATGACATTATTCTCGAAATCGGCCGAATACTCTGTAGTAGTTTATTGTCTGGTATCGCTTAGTGAAAAGAATGACGTTCTTTTGTTGATGTTTCGATTCTGCCACTCAAAAAGTTTAATCACACAACGCCCCATTTTGTGTCTGCTCAGAGTTTGAGATTCTCTCCATATATGACTGTTCCTCCGGGCTGCGGCCTTCTTCTCCGTGCTGCCTGCTGAGCAATGTTTAAACAGCCTCCTCCAGCTTTGATGCTGCTCCCCAGGGTTCTGCTCTCAATCCTCGACAAAACATTAGTTATTTTTTCCTCCGCTAGTTATTACGCTGTGCCTTGAAAAAAACAATCCGCCATCTTGTTGGGGATAGAATTTTTTGGTTAGCTGCTACAGAAAAGGAATGAGTTTGTTCCAGGTCTTATTTAAAAAGCCTCTGATGTTTGTTATTGTCCTTACGATGACGACTACTGACAGTTGACTGACCGTGATCTTAACCACACAGGAAAAGCGCAAGATTCCTCCTGTTCCCAACGGTGTGACAGATCTTGGAGAGTCAGAGGAACATGGAGGGCACGGTGGCCCTGAGCTCCAGCGCACAGGGAAGTAAGTGTTCCAGACACTCAGCTCGATCAGTGACGTACAGCCCTGAGCTCTTGGAGCTCATGCTCCGTCCACTTGTCGCCTGTGAGTGGCCTCCTGTCCCCAAACTGTAAATTTAGCTCCCTTAAGACCGATCCATTATCATTCCTCACACTTTAACTCCACTGAGTCTTTTGTTTGAGTTGTGCACGCTATGCCACACATGAAGTCACAGTGAGAGCTCCCTCACAAATAATGCCCACTCCTCCTCACACTCCTTACTACAAACACACACTTGATTATATGCTACACAACCTTTCACACAGCAGTAACACTATCGTACGTTTTACTTTACAACTTGTTACTTTTCAGATGAACCCTAACCCAGAGGTTACCCACAACACAATGACACATTTTTATTTTATGCCATTTTACAGTTCCTGAATCCAGAGGGATTATCTATCAGATAATACCCAACAAATGGTTCTGAGGTTTTTACCAGATGTAGAAATGTTTGGCAAAATTGCACACGAAATTTATTTCACAGATATTTTGAGCAGCAACACGACCGAGTGGATTGAAGATGAAATCACATTGTCATCATGCAGAAATCTGACCATTACTTCCAGGGAACTCTTGGGCTGCAGAGGGGTTCTACATACTGATAGTACACTGGTGTTGGGTGGTTTAATAGCAGAGGAGTGAGTGATGTGCTGCTGAGCTGCAGTGTGATGCAGCACAGCCTCTTATCTCAGCTCGGATTGGCCCAGGCCCAGCCATCAACCCCCTCCACCTCCTCCAGGGACACGGCATCGCTACTGCACAGACCAAAGATAACGTCCCGCCCACTGTTGCTACAGCAACCACCCCCAGCTAGTTCACACTGGTCCAGTCCTCCTGCAGCAGGAGAGCCGACAAATACCTTTAACCCTTTTAAATACTTTTTCTTGTGGTTCAAATGTGTAAATATAAAGGAATAAGCTTTAGTGGTCTGTTCTCTTTGTTCAGCAGTGAAGAGAATCCCAGCATCTCTGCAGGCGATGCAGTAACAGAACACGATGCAGTTTATTTTAAGCAATAGTTTGACATTTTGTGAAATTAGCTTGTTTATGAAAAAAGATGAGAAAATCATTAACACTCTCATCTTGTTGAATACAGTGACTGCATAGTGCCAACTGTGAAACGCAGAGGTGGGAGTCTATGGTACTATGATTGCATCACCAAATACTGAATGAAAAGATCTTTTTACACAAAACATATAGTTTGTTAGGTTATTTATTGTGTCATGCACAAGTTTTCCACATTTAAATGCAACATCTTCTCATTTCTCCTCAGATTGTTTGGTGGGCTCATCATGGACATCAAGCGAAAGGCCCCTCACTATATTTCCGACTACACAGATGCCCTGAGCCTGCAGTGTCTGGCCTCCTTCCTCTTCCTCTACTGCGCCTGCATGTCACCTGTCATCACCTTTGGAGGCCTCCTGGGGGAGGCCACAGAGGGACGTGTGGTGAGAAACACCTTAATGGCTCTGCGCTCCCGTCTAAATGTCGAGTCGGCCACAGCGCTTCAGCGTGCAGCCAGGGACGCTGTATTCATGAGAGACGAGTTTTGAAACAGTTTTCAGACTACTGAGGTCGGATGATTTCTTAAATTTACATTTGCCCAGGGAAAACACGACTCAGGACTCAGAAAGCTTTTAAGAACTGACTCTTCTCACTGAAAGACACCTTGAAACACGTTGCTGATAGAAAAGACAATGCATCCTCCTAAGATGAGATTCATGACTCATGATACCTCAAAATTTGAATCCAATACTTCGCTTTACTTTGTTTTTAATGCGACTAAGCAAACACCTCAAAATTTGAACCTGATAAGCCTCAGGCAATGTTTAGAAAATGTTATAATATCAATCAAAGCTACAAAAGCAATGTGGATTTTTAAAAAGGACATGAATCAATAGCCTCATTTTCGATGTTTCCAGAGTGCTATCGAGTCCCTGTTCGGGGCCTCCATGACTGGAATAGCCTACTCTCTTATAGCGGGTCAGCCTCTCACCATCCTGGGCAGCACGGGGCCCGTTCTCGTCTTTGAGAAGATCCTCTTCAAGTTCTGCAAGTGGGTGACTTCCTTTTTTGTTTTTTCAGCTTAAATTAATACATTTTTGCTTTAGTCCTGCTGGTGGGTGGGTGTCCTTTCTGCTTGAGTAGGGATGCCATGTCTAATTGCTTTCCCCTTCACTCTTCCTGTGTGTGTGTGTGTGTGTGTGTGTGTGTGTGTCCGTCCTGTCTCTCCCAGGGACTATGAGCTGTCCTACCTCTCCCTGAGGGCCTGTATTGGCCTGTGGACGGCCTTCTTCTGTCTGCTGCTGGTGGCCACTGATGCCAGCTCGCTTGTCTGTTACATCACACGCTTCACTGAGGAAGCTTTTGCTTCACTTATCTGCATCATCTTCATCTATGAGGCTCTGGAGAAGCTGCTCCACTTGGGAGTGCATTACCCCATCAATAAAAACAACAATCTCCAGACGCTCACACAGTATTCGTAAGTGCTTTTTTCTTTTTCACTTCTAATTGTAGTAAACTGGATAAAAAACTTTTTTTCACAAGTTGAATCTCACTCTAAACTTGAGAAATAATCATCTTTAAGTTCTTTTAATGTAATATAATAATATCATAGTATCACATATACACACGTGTGCTTGAGTGCATTTGCTACATCATGAAATGACAGATGGTGGAGTGATGTAGCCGTAGACACACTCGGTCCAGTCTTCTTAGTAATGGGTTTTGCTTTATGGTGAGTAATCCCATGTTGAGCCTGTGTCGGGAGCATCATGCATGATCCAGCTACATTAGCGGGTTAGTGGCGACGTCGAGCCAAGAGCTGCTTCTCTGGTTTTTTCCATTCCAGTTTAGTGCACTAGGGGACGTCAACATTTAATTTTGCAAAATGCCAGCAGAGTGACTCATTTATGTAGATGGGTGGACCTTTTCGGAAGTGGTGTGTAATGGAACATGTGGCTAGAAATACTGATTCTGCTCATTAGTAATTAATCGGCCCATTATTTCTTTCAATTATCAAATTTCCCATAATAATGCTTTGGTCCTGAAGTTTGAGGTTTCCTCACAGTTCCTGAGTGATCATCAGCCTTTAACACACAAATACATAAAATTAAAGCATATATATATATATATATATATATATATATATTCTTATAATATATTATATTCTCTATAGATGTGCGTGTGTGGAGCCCAGATACCCCAGCAATGAGACTTTACGCTTCTGGGAGGAGAAGAACGTCACAGCCTCACAGGTCAACTGGACCATGCTGGAGGTCAAGGTAAGGAACATACATATAGTGTAATACTTTATTTAAGATTTAGGGTCATTTACGGCCTAGAGATGCACAGACACAATAGACTTCTAATGGTTAAAGATGTGGATCTGTAAGCTGTTAAGAAAAAGCAATCACAGTGTGAGTCAGACGAGAGGAGAGACGAGATAACACTTGAAATCACAGCTGCTCGCACCGAAATTAAACCGCACGCGAAGACACCAGAGAAAGTTTGGGGATATTTCTCACAGTCTGGCACCGTGTTGTGTCTCACTTACCCCACACGCCGCTTTATGAAGACGCGTCATAAGTCTAGGCGGGGATTAAGAGAATGTGGGCAGGATTTCACAGGATTTAGCGCCGCAGAATGAAAATGGAGATGCAGCGTGAAGCGTGGATTCTCTCACTGTCAGGCCTGAATCAGTCAGAATCAGTCATGCCGGTGGCATGCTGCTGCGTCACTCCTACATGTGTGGCAGCAAGCGTTTTGAGATCTGGGCTCACATGAGGCCACTGGGATTCTACGCTGTATTCTTTTAGTAGCTATGTAGTATAAAAACATAAAGCGCCTTCTCAGACTTCACTAATTCATCACTGACACTCATCATCACCCTCATCTACGCTGTCACTCGAATCATTTTCCATGGCATCATTATCCCCGTCTGCCTTCACCTCATCATCCTGATTATCTTCATCATCTTTACCATCATCATCATCGTCATTATCACCCTGTCCTCTGGTGCCAGTAGGAGTGCGAGATGTTGCACGGCGAGTTTGAGGGCACGGCCTGTGGCCCCCACGGGCCCTACATCCCCGATGTCCTCTTCTGGTGCGTGGTCCTCTTCTTCTCCACCGTCTTCATGTCCGCCTTCCTCAAGGAGTTCAAGACGAGTCGTTACTTCCCGACCAAGGTACTTATCACACTGTTATCCCACCCAAGTACTGCAAAAACACACATGCACCCACCTATTACCGTCTTTGTGTTATTTTATTTTGACATGTGTTGTTCTCGTTGAAGTACACACACTTTTAGATTTACAGTTACTGTTTTCAGGTGCATGATAGCCGCAGAATAGAATTTGTTTTCATCATTTATGAATTCCTCCATTTACTGTCCTGAAATTACACTGTTATTAGTTTATAAAGCATCATTTTAGATTATTCTGCCATCTACTGGTTGTCCCATGACACAACAAAAGCCCTGCAGTCTGTGTTGCCATTCTATGTGTGAGTTTTCTATGATTCATCATTAAGATGACACGCATGAGCAAAATATGTGGCGTGATGCGGACACAGTGATCTGTAGTGTACCGGCGCCACCTTGTGGTGATGAGCACTGCACTGTAGTCTGCTTGTATTGTAAGTGTGTCTTTGTTCCCTGCAGGTCCGAGCCATCATCAGCGACTTTGCCGTCTTCATCACCATCCTCACTATGGTTCTTGTAGATTACGCCCTGGGGATCCCCTCACCTAAATTACAGGTCCCCAACAAGTTCAAAGTAAGTCCAGAAGAGGCCTTATTTAAAACTGTAGATTCATTATACATCATGATATATCATCATCATATATCATTTGTGTTCTTCTTTGTGCCTCAGCCAACCAGAGACGATCGTGGCTGGGTCATAAACCCTGTGGGGCCCAACCCCTGGTGGACCACCATCATCACCTTTATCCCAGCTCTGCTCTGCACCATCCTCATTTTCATGGACCAGCAGATCACGGCCGTCATCATCAACAGGAAGGAGCACAAACTGAAGGTATTTTAAAATTCCAGTCACAAAGGAAACTGAATTATTGAGGAAATAAATATCAATGCTCCTTGTCCGGCTCCTGCAGAAAGGCTGTGGCTATCACCTGGACCTGTTTGTGGTGGGGGTGATGCTGGGAGTGTGCTCGGTGATGGGCCTGCCGTGGTTCGTGGCGGCCACCGTGCTCTCCATCTCCCACGTGAACAGCCTGAAGCTGGAGTCTGAGTGCTCCGCCCCCGGGGAACAGCCCAAGTTCCTGGGCATCCGGGAGCAGCGCTTCACCGGCCTCATGATCTTCACACTGATGGGCTGCTCCGTCTTCATGACCTCTGTGCTGAAGGTCAGAACGAATCCTCAAAAAATATACATCCCCTCAAGAATCATTATAACATTTGTAGTTAATTATTATATGTGTTAGAAATGTGAGCTTAGTTAGTGTTAGTTTGAATAGTTTTAATCCTGATCCTGAATATTTCTCTTCAGTTCATCCCCATGCCTGTGCTGTACGGAGTCTTTCTCTACATGGGGGCTTCCTCACTCAGAGGTATTCAGGTGAGGCCAAACACAGTCCGCTGGTCTTTATCTAGAAGATATTTGTTATTCTGAATTATTATTATATCCAGGAAAAGAATCGGGATGAATTCATAAATGTGTGTCTGTGTATCCGTGCAGTTCTTTGACCGTCTGAAGTTGTTCGGCATGCCGGCCAAACATCAGCCAGACTTCATCTACCTTCGCCACGTCCCTCTGAGGAAGGTGCACCTCTTCACCATCATCCAGCTCACCTGCTTGGCCCTGCTGTGGATCATCAAGACCTCCAAAGCTGCCATCGTCTTCCCCATGATGGTGAAGAGCATGTTTGTGTGTGCTGCACACGCTGTCTTATTCCTGCGCTTATTTCTTATTGATGTCTGTTTCCGCTGCTCCAGGTCTTGGCCCTGGTGTTCATTCGTAAGGTGTTGGACTTCATCTTCACCAAGAGAGAGCTGAGCTGGCTGGATGACCTGATGCCCGAGTGGAAGAAGAAGAAGTTGGAGGATGCAGCAGAAGAGGTGAAGCAGCGGAGCACGGCTCAGATGTCTGAACTCCACCTGCTTCACGTTTTCACCAATGCAGCTGCAACACACGTGTTTTACATTTTCTCTTTTGTCTCTTTCTCCAGGATGAGCACAGTATTATTGTAGAGGAGGAAGGCATTGTGCAAGTGCCACTGGAGGGACACTACAAGTAAGACATTTTAATCTTTAATCACATTCTGCATCGTGAGTCCTGCTTAAAGACATTCTGCTAAATGCAGTGCTTTGATAAACACCATGAAAACCTTCTGCTGTGTATATCCTCTGTGATGTGTTTTCGAAGGAGTGACCCAGCCACAGTGAACATCACTGACGAGATGTCCAAAGGTTCTTTCGGGAATGTGTGGAAGAGCGTCAGCCCTGCGGAGAGCACCAAGAAGGAACCGAGCGCTAAGAGGTCAGCCTCCTCCCCCACATGGCTCTCAGATATCCACATCATAGATACCTGCTGATTCCAGATCCTCAGTGTATTTTTACAGTGTCTTTTGGTGTAAAATCAAGCAGTGGCAGATATTTGTTATTGAAGCGTTATGGAATATGTAGGTTTTTTATTTTTCCAGGAAACTGAGTCGCCTGTATGTTTAGATGAAAGGGTTTATCTTAGAGCAGCGCTGCCCGCGCACATTTCCAGCAGAGTAGACTAACATAGTATCTCCTGCCTGCTTCTCTCATTCCATTCCACCCTAAGCTCCCCTTCCTAACCTCTCAGAAGCTGATATCCCAAAGGTAAGTGGTTCCCAGTCCCCGCCAGCATGGAGAGTATTGTCCTGTGTGTTCACTGCTGATTGCTGCATGATGACGATGGTGTGATGGGTCTGTGATGGAAGTGGTGATTGAGATCAGTCAATAAATAGTAATCATGTGTCACAGCATGACCTGGGCGTGCATGTTACTTCAAGGACACATTTTACGATGTCAGCTGCAGCATGTTGTAAAAGTTGTGAAATGAATAGCACCATAACGCTGCTTTCAGACATGCACTGATGTCTGGACATTTTTCCGAGTGAGTCCATGTGAGAACACAGCAGGAAAATCCTCCCCGAGCTAGTGGCTGTGTCGATCATGTGAAAAACCCAAAGGAAAAGAAATATGTCAACAAAAACTCCTGCTATGTTCTTCATGTGTGAAAGTCACTCGGCAAAATGTCTGAGCCCAATTATCTGAACACTTTTGGGAGTTCATGTCTGAAAACGGCCTTTGTCCCTCACAAAAACACGTGAGGGCAGATATATTTGCATGCTGTCTGATCTGGATTGAAACATATTTGCACCTTGCATTTGAATCTAAAGTCTCTACAGTGAATATGAACTTGATTAGTTGTCTTTCTTGTATTTTCCTCTGATTTGAATCTTTTTTTTCGGTGCAGTTGTTCCAGAGGCGGCGAAAAGCGTGAAAAGCGCCAGAAGCGGCGGAGGCACGACAAGAGCTTGGACAGGGAGACAAGTTTGTGATGACACATACAGGCGGTGCCATTGTGCTGTCGATCAAAAAACTAAAAATCTGTACCGTGCCACACTCAATCACCTTTGTACTGTGCTACACTGTGTTTTTGTCATGTAAGTCTGTGTGCAAGTTGTGTAAAACTGAAAATTTGTTAGAAACAGTATTAATGCTGAGGGGCCGAGACACATCTGTGTTCTTTTCTATGTATTTCAGTGTTTGGTGATACCAGCAACAATAGGAATCCAGAATTATGCGACACTTGCAGTAAATGCTGTGTTGATGGGCCAATTACATACAAATTTTAAACAATTTTTAAATCCACTTTATTTGTATTTTGTATGTTTTTATATTTTTCCAATATGACTCCTTTTAAAAAGCTGCCACACAAAAACCACACTGTGTGGATTTTGTGTGCAGCATTTATTGACTTAATGCACGTCGCAGTAGAAACACTAAAGAGCAGATATTTGCAGATACTAGTCTATTTCAGTTTTGTCTAAAAGAGTTGGCTACATAGCGAATCTAGTACCATTTTTTTAAGTATTATATATACATTTTATATATTCTGTATATCTAAATGTTTTTGTGACAGTGACAGCTCATATCACTCCAGGCTTCTCCGTTGCTCTTTTACACACGAGTGTCTCTCCTCCAGTAAAGTATTTCCCCCGGTCACTTCCTGGAAGAAATTTACATCGTGTGAATTATTGTTAATGTTGTTTTCAAGAGTTCGTACATGCCTGTTCTGAGTATTCGGGCCATATTGAAGACAAAAATCGAGAATAATTTCGTAATAAAAGTTAAAAACAAAGTCATAATTTAATAAGAAAAGAAGTTATAATAATAATGCAAGAATAAAGAAAAGCACTTTTAGGAAAAGCTTTTGCTTTTTAACTTTATTCTGACTTTTTACTCATATTATTACAATTTTGTCTCAAAATATAACACCTGTATTCTTGTAATATTGTGACTTTATTCTTATTATATTACGACTTTATTCTTGTAGTGTTACGACTTTATTCCCGTAATATTACAACTTTTTCTCCCTTTGAGTGGCCCTCACACGTCATATGTTCCGTGCTTAGCTCAACACAAAGACTGACAAAGTCCTAAAAGCTCCACCAGTCTCTCTTGCACATTTGTTAAATGTAAAAACATTATGGGATTTTGTGTTTTACTGGCTTGTTGGCGTCGCTGCATATTTTACCGCTCAGATAAATCTCATCATCTTAACTCTTGGAAAGCAAGGGAGCGTATTTTCTCAAAACATTAAACTACTTCTTTGAGGACAGCGGGGGCAGTTTATTAGAAAATGACATTTTTTGAGCTGGCACGGCTGCACGGTTTGGAAAAGCATCTCGGGCCTCTTGTCTTTTTAAAAAATGGTGGAAGTTACAGACCATGCAGAAAGCTCTGCAACTCTACCTGCATCCTCTTCGTCATCTTGTCAGTAAGTGTCATCCATGGACATGTGATCTCCTCTCCAAACGACCCTCGGCGTGTTAGCATCGGAAGCGAATTGTTTTGAAGAAAATAAACGACCATCTCGCCGCAGGACCTCGGTTTCTTCTAGAGATGCAATAATACCTTTTTTCTGGGAAGGGCAACATGTAATAAGCGGTGAAGAGTCTTAACAATGTATAATACATAGTATATTTTATTCATGTAAAATGTTACTAATATATTACTAACATGAAGTCAGTGTTGAAGGCAGGATTTTGTTGTAGATGTTCTTTTTCCATTGTCTAATTGATGGTTCTTAGTTGATTAGAGACACTTAAAATGGGTCAAAATTATATCAAATCAATTCATTTGACCACGTCTGTGTGGAATTCTGCCTTAAATTTGGTAGTGATAGCTGATGTACACGTTCTGTTTGATCATTTAAGTCACATGTATAGAAGATTCAGTTCAGATCCGATGTTCAACTGTGATTCGTTTAATGAGAATGTGAGAGAGAGAGAGAGCGAGTGAGAGCATAAATAAAAATATTGAAAAAACTCAGCAGGGATTATATCGATTTTTAAGCAGCCCATATGTTTAGAGTGCCTCGAAGACACTTTTGAAAATTTGGTAGAAATGTTCACTCAGACTCAAATAAACTGCCCAGATTTTCGTGGTCAAAAGTCAAAGGGCAAGGTCGCTGTGACCTCACAACACACGTTCTGCGATATCTCAGGAAAACCTCTGGGGACATTCAGGACAAATGATCACATGGACTCAACTGTATGATTATAAATGTATATATATTTAACTGTAAACAGTGTCAAAGTATTTTTAATAGATTAGCTGAAATATTTGAGTTGACAGCGACCATAAAACTATGGTTTACCCTATATTTATATTTTAGGGGCTGAGAATAAACTGTCCTCAACTCGAGGCTCCAAAAATAGTTGGAAAGTTGAAAATGTCTTGAGTAACAGTTTGAGAATATTTATTCCTTAAGTTTAAAGCCATCAGGTAAGACATTGCTATTCCCTTTGAAATAAAGTATGTGGTATTTTAACATACGAACACAACTTTACAATGAAAATCTTTATTTTGCAGAGCAGTTTAATGTCACACTATGAAAACCAACGACACTACATGTGTTTTCTATTCCACTAACCTGAGATTTAGCTTTTTGTGTTCTTGTTTTCACCTTAAAAATATAGACAATAATTTAAATTTGTAGAAAAAACATGCCCTGAATTTCATTTCCATAAACACCAGAAGACTAGTCGTTTTTTTGGTTTTGTATCTTTGCATCACATGAAGTAAAAAACACATTTAAATAGAATGTTGACATGACGACATTCAAAGCAGTATGGCTTCCTGTTCCTCCTGTGTATGGCTTCACGTTGCAGCACATAGACGGGTCCCGTCCGCAGCGTCTCATTGGTCCGCTTGTCTTTTCTTGCTGCGAAAAGAGAGAAAATCACAATCACACGCAGCCGGAGGAGTTTAAACACGTCCCCGGCCTTCATCAGGTCGCTCATGTGACTCGGCTTTACCTTTCCCCTGAGGGCTTGGAGGTCATGACCCACAGTAAATACTCCTTGGCAGCCATGGAGTCAAGCACCTTGTTCACATCACTGGTGAAGCTGCCGTCTACATGCCTCCTGCTGATGGCTTCACCCCACCTGTCCTTCTCAGATCTGAGTATGTACACAGGCACACAATATAAACTCTGCCCACTCACGCTCATCATGTGGAAACCTCGGCGCTCTCAGAGGAAGAAAATCATCTTTTCATCTATTGCTGTTTTTGTGTTGTCGTGACTGAAATAATCATCACATGTCAATTAACGCGGTGCAACAAGTTCAGGTGATTTATTTTCAGCACAACCACAAGAATCATGGAGAAACAGAAGCAACAGGAGGAAAGAAAAGGGCACAAGAAGCAATGTTGATTCGCTTTTTCCCTCTGATTCAACGTCCCTCTGTCTTTGTCGTCACTCTGGAATCAGACACAGGCAGGCGGCCATTACGGAGTTTTGGTACTGTAGCAGGAGGAGGAAGAGGAGGAGGAGGAGGAGGAAGGAGGCCTACTCTCTTCTGACTTGTCCAGACTTGAGCCTGGCAACAAAGTCTTTGAGCGCCTGCTCCTCCATGTAGGAGCTCACGTCGTTGGTGAAGGTTCCATCTGCGTGGCGCTTTTCTGCAGCGCTGAAAAAACACAACAAATATTGAGATACTTGATACTTTTCCATTACTTTACTCGATATGTTTTCTCCAGTATAAGAGGAGAGTAATATACTTTATACTACATTTATCTTATATCTTTCTGTTTAAACTAATTAGACAGAGAAACACATCAAGCACCTGAACAGGTACGGATGCATCAGTATTAATCATAGTGTCATATATACATTATACATACAGTATTTGAGCCACAGGACATATTGTACTGCAGACATACGCACTTTTACTTTTGATACTTCAAGTATTTTTATCTTGTACTAACTCTGAGGACTTTCATTTCATTTCAATCCAGTGTTTTCACATTGTTGTACCTTTATTCAAGTTGAGAAGTTTATTCTAACGTCCTGAGATTCAAGTGGTTTGATTGTTAAATGAAAATAAGCCAAATGAGAAGGGTTTGATTCCACACTGACCCGCTCCTCTTGTTGTTCATCAGCCACCGGACAAAGTCTTTCGCCTTCCTGTCCTCCAGGTATTTGCTGTAGTCGTTGGAGAACGTCCCCTCAGAGTGTCGCTTCATGTTGGGCAGCTGCCTCAGCTCGTCCGCTAACGTGTCGTCGGCCTCGAAACTACAGCAGCAGGAACACGGTGGTAATTTGAGTCTTAAAATCATATATTTCCTTTCTCCTGTATCAGCATGGTACTTGTTCACATTGATTAAGTTTTACACAGGCCTATTTAATGACATGTATTAGGAAGTGAACCTAAAATACAATTATTGTAGTTGTGTTGAAGAAAAGTTTAAAAAGAGAGCGAGTGTGTATAAATACAGTTAGTTCCAGTATATACAGTAACACAAGAGGAGAAGTACTTCATGTGTGGTTTCTTCTATTTGTCCAGATTTGATATTCACTTTGCCTTCGATATCAATATTTTAAAACACACAGTATTATATTCCCTCTGGACTACAGGTAAAGTACATCATTTCCATTTGAGAGTACTTCTTGTGTAAATGCGTTTTCTCTACCTGGAGCTGTCGTCGGCCTCGTGCAGAGGAACCTGCCAGCTGCTGTGGACAAAGCCAAGGAGCAGGACGATTCCAGCCAGGGAGTGGATGCTCTTCATGGTTCTAACCTGGACGCCACAGAACAACACTGAGCTCACACACTTTCAAATAAAATGTGCACATGAACAGATGAGAAATGAAAACTCACCTTCTCTTGTCTCTGTGCAGGTACTTGCTCTGCTTGTTGCTGGTGTGTGTGTCTGACTCTCACCATGGGACCTTATATACTGTAAGAGGTGGAGCAGGAGGTCGAGGCCCCTCAGGTGGACCGGTTTTACAACTCCACCAGGCCCACCTGTTACTTTCGACCCATTAGACACGGAGCCCCGACACATTGGCCGAGTGGACGAGCATTTGTCCAGAGAGGTGGCGTTCATGCGTGATGCCAGCTGGTACTTAGGTGTCAAGATCAAACAAGCGTGTTCATCCTGTTAAACAGAACGTGGGGGAGATGCTCTCATGTGCCACCGTGTCGTGGGGGGGGGGGGGGGGGGGGGGGGGTATGTGCTGCTGTCACATCCGGGCAGATGAATCAGTATTTGTCAAATTTAGAAGATGGGAAATATTGATTGGTTTTTGCATCATTGGCAGTTATCTGTTTTACAGGGGCCAAAGTCAAATAGAGATCTGAGCTGCTCGGTGAAAACACATCTTCATGTGCTGCTGCTGCTGCTGCTGCTGCTGCTATATGACTATGATAGACAGATGGATAGATAGATAGATAGACGGATGGATAGATAGATAGATAGATGGATAGATAGATAGATAGATAGATAAACAGATGTAGGTGGGTGGCTGGGTGGATGGATTAGTTAATAATTCGTGAGGGTTCTCAAATAGTGTAAAGTATATTTAAAACCCTAAAGTAGCCTTTATTAAAATATTCCGATATTTACTGNATGGATAGATAGATAGATAGATGGATAGATAGATAGATAGATAGATAGACAGATAGATAGATAGATAGATAGATAGATAGATAGATAGATAGATAGATAGATAGACAGATAGATAGATAGATAGATAGATAGATAGATAGATTTTTCAATTCTATGGAATGGAAACTGATCATTGCTCAGTGTTTATCATGACATTTCCAGTGAGTGTGTATGTGGAGCAACTCAACCAGTGAAACCAGTTTCATCTGTCTTTTCCTGGGAAAGTCTGAGGCTGTTTGTTTGAGATGCACTGACTCGTCTAAACTGCTTCTGGCTTTCTTTACTTGGCTGCTGTTATCTGATCTGCCACTTCATAGTTTCCCAGACGTTTGATTCCCTGTTTCATGTCTTAGTTCTCTCTCTTGTTAATTAGCTGCTCCGCTCTCATTAGTCTCACCTTTGTCTCGTTAACTGTTTGTGTCTCTCTCTCTGTCCACCATTGTCCTCCTTGCCCTCATCTTTACCTTTAGTGTTGTTTTGGAACCCTTTGCTGGGCCTGAACACCAACTTGTGCACCATACACGTAAGTCAAACTAATAACATTTGCACTCTACATGTGCCTGATTTGTTTAGTAAAGATCTCAGTGAACAAATATCTCTGGATAATCGTACTTAATCAAAATCTGCTCCAAAAGTTAATACAGCTTCGTTTCAAAGTTTCAATACTAACAATGAACTTTAGCATTTTAACTTTGGTCTCTGCTGTATGATGTGTGATGTTTTATTGAAATGAACTTTCCAATGTGGTGCAGTCTTATGTAAATCTCACATATCATTTCTGCGCTGATGACAAACGTGAAATAATTCAAACAAGAGGAATTTTCTCTGTTTGATTCTTCATTATTTTAGAAAACAATTATGACATCAAACATTCAATAATCTCATATATCGAGTACAAATATATATCAAATCACTGAGGTGCTTTATGTTTCTGTGGATCATTTACCACAACACTTTAAAATCATTTTCAGTGTTCATCCTCAGGTCAGATGAAAAAAAGTTCAAATAATCTTCATCCGACTGAATATATGTAAGATTGACTTTATGACCTTCTCTTTTTCCAGTTTATGCTCCAAATGAAAACTTAAAAAAGACAAGACATCCAGAACAATATTAATTTACAATCAAAAAGGTTTTTATTCACTTTGAGAAAAAGATCATTGGGTGAATTTCACGCAAAGCACCTCTGCAGGAAGTGAGTCATGTGGGTGTAGACGTGCTGATTGGCAGAGCCGCCAAGGCCGTGATCCTTGTCTGTGTACCACTGAGAGAAGAAAATGTTTAACGTTTACGACACGAGTCCGTATCATTTTATTTCAGCGATGCCACTTTATTTTTCTCAGATTACTCACCATGGCCTCAAAGTCCACCTGCTCCTCCACCAGAGCCTCAGAGATCTCAGCTGCCTGCTGGAAATGAACGTTGTCTAGAAAAACACAAGAAAGACTCACGTAGATTAAGGAAACTTTTGATTGAATCTGACTATTCTGATCCGAGGGCCGCGTTCGAGTGACTTTAATTTTGACCCAGGCGTTCCAGATGTTCATACATGATATTTTCCAAGACACTGCAACAAGTCATCCTTGGAAAGAACATTTCAGGAAATGTGCTTCTGGGTTTGATGAGAAAATCAAAACCACTTGCTGGTATAAAACTATAAAATAAATATTTATATATCCAATAGACACATAGATAAATTAAGGTCCTGTGTGACTCACCGTCAGCTGTTCCATGAATCAGGAGATACTGCACTGAATGGAAATTCTTGGCCCTGTCAGTTACTGTTGAGTTCTGCAAACAATCCCAGTTGTGTTTATTGATGAGGCAACAACACAACTGAGAGTTCAGTGTGATCACGATACAACAGAGTGAGAAACTTACAGCGTATCTGTCAGGGTTCTCTGAGGGCGTCAGCATGTAACGCTCCGTGTAGATGGAGTCTGGAACAAACACATCATCAGATAGCGTCAGTTTCGTCATTCTGCAGAATTCTGACTCAAAAAAAAGGTCAGAAACAGCAAACTTGGTGTGGAAGGAAGTGGCTCAGGAAATAACTCATTCACCAATTTCCCAGGGAATCATTCATGGAACTTTGTCAGTATTTTCCTCTTGATTTGTCTTTAACCTCATCTTTATTTTCTCTATTTTCTTTAAACCCTTTGTTGGATCTAAACACAAACCTGTGCATCATACTTTCAAGTCAAATTGTTTTTCTTTTGTTTAACTTTCCTCATCTGGCGTCTGGCGTCCTCACACTTTGTTTCATGAAGATCTCTGTCATTATTTTTTGATAAATTCAGGAAAAGTCAATGTCTAAAATAATGTCTTTTGTGATGTAATTAAACAGAACTGAGTCGTCAAAGTGAGTCCATCAGTTGTGGAAAGGTTATAGAAATGAATTTGCTTAAAGAAGATTAAAAACAACAAATAGATACCGTAATATTTCCATTTGGACACGGGAGCTATGGCCATCCCACATTTGAAAACTCCGCTGCCAGATCCCAACACCATGGACGTCACATATCCACCATAAGACTGGGGGGGGGGGGAGACGGATCATTACCGTGGTTCATCTCTCACACTGACGATCACATTACTGAGCTCTGACTCTACTCACCCAGCCCCAAATAGCAACTCTGTCTTTGTCAATGAAGCCCATTTTGATGAATTCCCTGAAAGAGACGATTATTCAGATGAGGGCAGAGAAGATCTAATTTCCAGTGAGTGTGTGTGTGGAATGACTCAACCAGTGAAACCAGTTTCATCCAGCTTCTCCTGGGAAAGGCTGAGGCTGTTTGTTTGAGATGCACTGACTTGTCTAAACTGCTTCTAGCTTTCCTTACTTGGCCGCTGTTATCTGATCTTCCACCTCATAGGTTCCCAGACGTTTGTAGATCTCATGCATTAACTTGTCGCCCTGGAAACCACTTCCTCTTCCGTCAAAGCTGGCCACGATGATTCCCTCCGTGCTCGCCAGGTAAGTGGACCAGCTCACCCTATAGATGTAATCTGCCTTCTGACTGCAGGGGCCTGCGTACCTGAAAGGTAACAATCCCCAAAAAATTGAGGCAATCACTTTTAGAATGTATTGAATTCCGTTTTTTAAACTGCTTCTTACACGTCTATCAGTAAAGGGTACTTCTTGGATTCATCAAAGTCTGGAGGCAAAAACATCTGGAACCAGAGATCTGTCAAAAACACAAAAAATAGATTTGGATACTTGGATAATAAAAGAGTAAGATAAGGAGTCAGAACCTTTGACAAATCATCAATGGCTGATTCTGACAAGTAACTTAACTGCAGAGGAGTAAAAAGTACATTTCCCTCCACAGTGGAATTGAGGAAAAGTATGATATTGAAATGTAAAAATACCTCAAACTTAAAACTTAAAAATGAAGTAAATTGCTGAATCACTCACCGAACCCGTAAAGTTTGATGCTGCCACGGCGCATGCTGGGCATTCGGACGTCAGAGATCAGGCTGCTAAACGCACTGTTGTCCTCCAGAGCCTTGAGCTCTGCACATGTAAAAAACACAGATCAGATAAAAGCTTTTCTGCTCCTTGGTTTTATTTCAGCTTCAGCTCTAAATGTGAAGAATACCTTTATTATTCCTGTTATCCATGAGAGAGTGGTAAGGAATACCTGGACCTTTGAATACAAAGTACACAAGTATTATTTCTATGTATAAATATACAGACTGTTGTTTATTGCATGAGCCTCAAGTAATCGTGAAAGTATAACTGACCGCTGCAGCTCATACGGTAGAAGGAGGCATTGTGGCTGAAGTAAGCTGAGTTGTATTGACATTTTTCTCCGTGTAACAAACACGTCAGACATTTGGTCTCTTTTTTGGTCCATCTGAGACACACAAACACACACAAACACACACAAACGCACACAAACACACACAAACACACACTGTCAGTCTGGAAAAATATTTTAAAATAAGAAGATCCAATACAGTAAAAGCCTTACTTATAAACGTTCCTTCCTCCTGGCTTGCCACCCATGTTACTTGAATAATATCTGTGGAATTCAGACGTTACTCATACATGTGTATAAATAAAATGAGAGAAAATGATTTAGAAACATTTTTATAGTTTAAATCAAATCACAGTAACTTACACACTATCTGCAGTGACTTTCAGAATGTCAATAACTTCCCATTCTCCAGAGGTGATTTGTATCACTGCTCCCTGTTTGTAAGAGGCACAACAGAATATTTGACATTCGGACTTTAAATA